GTGCTTAGAACGTTGGCCAGTCAGACGCAGTGCGCGTTATGTAATTTCATAGCCTGTAGAACAAGCACTGTAGCAACTATTGTCGAAATCAAAAATAGTTTGTACTACCTTCGACGAACTAGGGCGATAAATCTAATATGTCTGTTGGGGTATATTGCTGCCAAATTCCATCACTAAAATTGATTTCACCTGCTGTGTTCGTTGCAATTTTGAATGAAAGAAATCCTATAATTCTCGTATCGAGTCCACCATGTTAACGGAATATAAACTAATCACACTAAAAGATTTCTGACTAGCGAAATTAACTCCGAATCTGATAAATGCCAATGAATGTTTTATAGAGAGGAAGCAAAATAAGCTGAATTTTATGTTTCGTTCATTTTATTTTTAATATGCTTTTGCAATGCAATAACTGGCTGAGTGTTGACAAACAAAATCACACACAAACGGCCGTGAACACTTAGGCGATATTGGAAGTGTCAACACAGCCTCGTTTATTCCGAGAACTTCATTCGAAGTCCTAATCACATTCATACTTAAGTGAATAAAACTCGTGATACAGTGCCCCAAGCAAGGTCAGCGTTCAAAATACTCAGCTTGTTGGTCGTAATGTCAAATATCTTTTAATGCTCTTGCTGGTGACTTTTGGATGTGTAGACTCGCACCCTAATCTAGGAAGCACGACAGGAAGATAAGAATGGTGATTGCAAACTTCCACTGGTCTGCTTAGTAGACTGGACCACAACCTGTTTGCATTTGCACCTAAGTGAGGAGCAACAAACAAATCGCACCGCGCAAGCGAACAAGGGGTTTCTTACTTTTACATCCAAGGCCTGTTATAGTTCCGTTAGCATTTGTTTTGCGCACAACCAAGATGATCTTACAGGATTTTGGAACACCGTTGGGGAAATAATGGTTTTAGAGATTGGTGAGCCGCTATAAGCTTATGTCACACAAACTATCCCACAGGACAAATTACCTTGAAGGAAACTTTTGGCATGTGCTAGCCAGAAATTCGAAAGCGTGCATAATCTACTGCATGACTACCGTCAACCTAAAGGGCAGGATTTTTCCCCTGTTTCATGACGGAATCCTGTGTTTTATGCAATGTTATGCGGTTCCATGTGCGTAATTGCTTATTTTATCAAGTGTACTGCTACTATGATTGGATGAAGTTTCAAAGTTTGAGTTACAAGCAGCGTTCGGGATCAAACGGTGTAAAACATAAGAGCCTTAGTAAATTCTTTGCCTTACATAGACCGTGTGGTTAATTTTACTAAGTACAGTATAAGTAAACTGATAGAAACCATTTCCTGGCTCTGTTCTTCATTTTTCCTTCAGCATACAGGATTAGTTGTATTCATAAATCTGGTCAAAGTTGACAGATAGTTTATATTTTTAACAATTACCGGTAAGGCAATCGCCCGGGTAAGTTCACCTCAAGGACGAAATGCAGCCTTCACAAGTATTCACAGATACAACAGTAATAATAAGCCTCCGACCTGTAACTTCTAACCGGACCATGTTACTTTTTCTACAGATTACTCTTATAGGCAGCACGTCGTTCCTCTGACTTATTGTTCAACCGAACTATGATGCACTTTATTTTATTGTACTTTAGTAATATCGCGAAATCTGGTATACAAACTAACAAGGAGCCCTATTAACAACGCGACCTGCAGCAGAAAAGTACCATGTCCCCGTGACCACAGTGACAGCAAATAGTAATTTCATGTAGATCTCGTAGTGACGCGAATGCGTTATTTCTAGGGGAACGGTCATTTCTGATGTCGGTCTCAAGTAATTAATAAAATGGTAAACAAGTAAGGTGTGCAATCTTATCGCCATGTTATGGTGACTGGGTACATTCTAGAAGAAAGTGCTGACTCTCACTATACGAAAGAACAGGGATTCCTTCAAAACACAACTGGAATCGAGATGACACGTTTTTTTATTAATAAATGACGCTTTAGCTAGAATAATGCTAGCTGAACTTGTACTTTCTAATGAACTTGCTATCGCACTGTATATGTAAAATATATGAAGAGTATTGATAAATTATACACGCTTATAAGCTCAGCGCTGGATTTATTGTCTCAGTAAGTAATAATGAGATAATGATAGTGAGCTCCATTGCTTTCATGCATATCTTCAGAAGCCTGAACACCCCTGAGATAACATAGCTATTCTGCTTAATGCTGCTTTACATATTAATAATACATGCACAGCGGTGATGTAGCATTCCAACTCGACGAGTTAAATAAAATTATATTCCGAGCGCACAATTCCGCTTCTGAAATCGACGAAAATAACCAGCATCATTTCGTGCTAAAATATGTTACTTAAATATCTGGATGTCATCACGTCCTCGGTTCTGCGAACCATTACTGTCAGGATACATGCAAATATTGTGCCAAAGTTTGGCATTTATGTGGATGCTTGAGCACTTTATCATCGTGTTACATAAGGTAACTGCGTTCGAGGATTACTCATTCACTGTCCGCGATGATGTACACAACACCCAGATGATTTCAAAGACCTTCGCAAGGTTTCCGTTACGGTAAGACAGAGCTCAACTAGCTATTCTAACAATGTTTGTCATTTGACCGACTCCTGTTGTAATGCATCTTCGTGAAACTCTACACTCATCAACATTTCGTCCTGTGTTACTGCTCGTACCACCATGAAAACTTGTTATAAAAACTCAAGGCTTGTGGAATGCCATAATACGTCGAAGTGTCTAAAGTGCTTTGTTGGTTATACGATAACTTAAGTCGAACTGTAACAACCCACACATTGGTTGTTATTAGAGGTGTAGGTACTAGTCAAGTTGATAACTAAAGTGATGCGTCCCCAATGCATCAAGCACTTGATTAGAATGCATACATTATACGAAAAGTCTCTTGAATTAACAAGCAATGTAATGTTTAGTGTTAAACTGAGACACACTCCGGCATACCCGTCTTGGCAATTCTTTCATTGTGAACTAATAATTTGGACTTCAACTACTGTTCGGGTATTGGGGTACCCACAGTGTGCGTTAGATTGCGACATGCAATCTCAGTTGTATCCATCTTTGAAGTTAACCTGAGCCGTTTTGACCTCTGGGAGTTTAACCGAAGTGGAGAGTTTCGGTTTTGCGCTCTCACATCCAGGCAATCCCCGAAGGACTGGTTAGTCCTTATTTGCTCATCAAATAGATAGATAGACGGAGTTAGCGGTGGTATTCGGCGCAGACTGGTTGTGGTTATCGCAATGTTTGCCAGGCCATTGAGCTCAATGAGCAAAGAATGACATTACAGTTAGTTGTTTTTCTGCTATTGGAATAACCGCCGTGCGTCCAGACAAGGATAAAGGAAGCCGTGGATTTCAGGGATGGGAGGGAGAAACAGTCTCCATTTTAACCGTGTACTCACAATAATTTAACTCATTGGCCTGATTGAACTATAGTCCTTGATCCGCACAACACCCAAAGCATGCAGCATGTATACGTCATTTCCGGTAGGACTGTTGCAAATATTGCTCGTGCAGAATGAACCGAAGGTTGTACTACACTCTAGAATATTATGCTGGAACTGAGTTAAGTAAATAAAATGACGAACTTTTCACTCCACGGATGCCGTCGTATTTCGCCCCTGCTTTCAAGACTAATTGATAAGAAGTAATCCTCCCTTTGAACACGCACACGACTGTCAGGTCGAGCTGATGGAGAGTGATAAATATTTTTGTTGCAAACATGTCTGCAACTTGAATGGTCGCATAGCAATGACAGTTGGCGTTGCCCAATGGCATCAGGTAAATGTGCAAATATCCTAAGCTTAACTGACTGTGCTTCATCTGGTGATACGTTACTTGGTGGACTCTCAAAAGTGCCTAGCGCTTACTCAATCTGTCAAACATCGATACTAATTTAATCATAACCACACCACAAATCATCAGCAACTTGCTACCGGTGCAAATATCCTACAAGCAAAACAGTATCTTTGAGTGTAAAGCATACGCTGTTGACCTCGGCAAGTGGGCTATGCTGTGCTCATGGTACAGAAACAATCGCTGCCACCGACATGCCAAAATAAAGTATATTCCTTCTGGCCATATTATTTACGGAATTCCTTCACCTCTTTCCGTTTACTAGGAGCTGAATGATTAATTTTTAATTTCCAGCAAGTAAACGCTTTGGTAGATTTATCTACGTGTCCAGTTAGTCACTAATGACGCTTCATGCGCTAAGAATGTAGCCATCATCTTTTGCAAATACAAGACGACAGCTAGACTTTTATATCCGCTGCTTTGTATTACTGTTTACACACCTCGGGGACAATCTACCTTAAATGCCGAATACCACTGGCTAGTACCTGACAAACCACCTTCAAGGTGAGGCATTGAACTGGCAGTTATACTTTGGTACCGTAAGCAGGACAAGCCATGCACATTTTCCTCCTGCTGACCACAGACTACGGTGTTGTGTAACGGTAGTCACTGCATTTTCTGGGCAAAACTGTGATAGAATCAGCGGATATCTTCGCAATACAGTAAGGTAAAATTGACTAAAAGTTGTATGTAATCGGTTAGGGGTCAATACACTCCATGAAAGCACGAAATTAAACCACAGTACCCATTTGAGCTAGCATCCGATATAATCCTAATGAAGAATATGTTGAAGGTTGCATTTAATATATAAGATCTGGTCGGAATTCCTCCTTCAGAAACCCAGTTTGTTCTTCTCAGTCTCATGTTCTCCATCCTTACTAACTACGGCAATAAAGGTGAAGTTGGTGGTGGCACTTCGGCGCTAAGAATATTGATGCTTAACTGGACAGAAATGAACCATACAAGTTTGAAATTTCTGCACCGCTTAACCCATTATATTATGTTCTATAAAGTCCCACGTTGCCTATCCTATACTTAGACATCGGATTGCTTTGATACAAAGCACTAATGAAGGGAAATGTATTACCCACAATTTCGTCCAGCTTCCTCTCTCCTCACTTCGGTTATAGGAAAGAATAAGGGCTAGTCAGTTAACTGGAGCTCGTCTTCTACTCCATCCAAGTGCCACTTACCCCCGTGTGGCTGAAGAAGGAATTAATCTTATGCCCGGCACAATGACGGATATTCGATTTAATGTGTATGAATGGTCGATGATGGAACCGCCTCACGGCCGGTGCAGCTCACACACACCAAAATCTCTACAGTTTGACCACATAAACTACTCCTACTCGGAAGAGGCATGTCACGCACACATGGAACAGCAGCAGATTGCGACCACATGCAAATGTTTATCACAATCGCTACCCATTCCGACCCATTTGAAAAATCAAGGTTTGCCAATGTGTCAAGCGCTGAAATTTCCGGCCACCTACGACGCTTTGAACAATTCCAATCACAGTAAACAGGTGTATTTCAGCAGAGAGGCGGTGCAAGCGTTTGTGACATATGCGAGTTGTGCGGAGCGCGTTGGGACCGGTTTGGATAGTCAGAAGACTGGATGTCGCCCAGCCTGTATTCGATACACGTACAAACCGAGTATCACTGCTGCACAATGGCCAACAAAAACATTTATGACTTGGTCTGTAAATAAAGTGAGTGACGTAGAGATCAACGTTAGATTACATCATCCTAACATTCTCGACTCAGTTGAGGAACATGCAGCAACTAGCAACATTTGCTGCGTTGTTGTTGACTGTAGGCCCTCTACTTCTGTGCAATGCTTGCCTATCTGACACATTAGTTTACTAGCAGGTTCAACACAGTTACCCATGAAAAAGCCACCCCATGTATAGAAAACAATAGACTGCTGTTCTTTTCGCTATGAATCAAGGAAAGCCACAGGTTTCGAAAATACGGACAAGTAGTTTGGAAGCTAGCGCCTGGATTCTATGTACGAAAAGTCTAATTACTTTGTATGTAAACGGAATTTTCGACCTAATATTCAGCTCCAGTAAAGTAATTCGTAAAACCACAGTCGCAGCTAAATCAAAAATCCCTTAGCGAATGAGAATGTCAAGATTTTGTTCATTACTGAAAAATATTTCTGCTCAACTGTTGTAGTTGGTTTGGTCCAGCCGCAAAAACTACTAAGCTTATAACTTTTCGCACATAATCATTACATTTATTGAGAACACATGTAAACCGTAGTGCACAATGAGCAGCAATTGGAAGCGGCACTTTGGAATTTAACAAATTTACTCATCTAATAAGGGGATTTTAACACATCAGTATCCAATGTACAATCGAAAATGGTGCGAAACTTCTTTAGTCCAAAGGGTGTTGCTCATTAATTCGTGATGGAAATCTCGACTCAGACTCTAATTATGTCACATAAAGCAGAATTGATGGGGATTAGGAACGCCTCAGATACGAAAGTGATATTGGAGTTGTGTCCGGCAGACCATTAACGAGGAAAGTAAATGGGCAAAACTGTTAGAATGAAGTGAAGCAAATAACCGAGAACGAATACGCTCACGTGTTCGGCAGCTACGTACTCTAAAATCTACCTACAGTTTTCGAGGTTTAACTCAAATGAATTTCAGTACGCACATAGACATTTGGTTCAACAAATATGCAACAAATCGTTGAGAGTAAATGAGCCCCGAAAATTGTTCTCAAAGGTAAGGTAGAGTTCCGCTTCCAAAATATATTTGCGCCAAATAAGTATACCGGAATCATGCCAGCTGTAAACAGCGCACAATAAAAGTTGATAACACAGCACCCTAAGGTAGCTAAAAAACACAATATCAGTATTTATTTAACGTTATTGAATAGGATAAAACATGTCACCATTGAAAAATTATTCATAAACGTTTTCAGAAAAGAAAGGAAAAAATAACCACACATTCTGGCCAACGTTTCACATGGGACACAAAAGCTTCGCCAGGCAGTAAACCAGTCGATGATTAGTCTAGCATTTTAACAAAGTGGACTGATATGCTCGACGAATGGGATGTAGCCAGATGGTCAATCGCGTTACAGGTCAACGCATTCCTGCAAGTAATGCTTGAAACGGTCACAAGTGGTCCACGACACAACGTCACACAAGTGCGGGAATGATGTGGTGTTCATTCTATGCTCTGGATCCATCTGCCGGCGCTCCTCAGACTGGTCAGATTAATACAGCTCGCCACATGCTCGAGAGCTTTGCCCCGTCCACACTGTTCACGAAGCTGTTCACTTTGCTTATCCCAACCGTCTCAGCAGCCAGCCACTGGGAAGTTGATCACAAACCGTTTCTAACGATTTTGCCGTTTGCCAACTCGATCTCATGCCTTGTACCTAGCACGTGCATCGCTACCGCCGAGCTCCTTAGTATAGCTATATATTCAAGCTCGTTTCTCAGTGGCCGTGCTAAACGTCTTGTGTTCTGCTATCCTTGTGTGTAACATCCTCACGGTTTCGCCAATATACACGCGTGCGCAGTCTTTGCAACTAATTTTGTAGACTCAATCGGTTGTCCTATCTGCGGGAAGTGAGTCTTTCAAGTGCATTTGTGTAGAGCGTAGCGTTTGGCGTTTCTGGACAATTACCCTTATGTTATCTTTATTTAAGACCCTCCAGATGGCCTCCGAAGTTTCTTTTTTATATGCATTACATACCGTCCCAACCAACTCCGTAGTACGCTGTGGGTGAGGATTTAAACTTCGCTGCAACTGGCGTTTCATAAACCGCCTCAGCTATGCATTACCAAACAATTGGTTCATTGCATCTTTCCGGGCGACCTTCCTAACTTCTTCCTCTGCGCACAATGTTTGGGCTCTGTGAAACATCGATGAGGCGATTCCAGCATACCCATGTTGTGGATGACCTGAACTACAGTGGAGTACACCATCTGTGTCCGTCGGCTTACGATATACCGTTATTTTTAGACTACCACTATTCCTGTGAACTAAGCAGTCAGGGAATGGCAATATTCCACTGCCAAATTCAAATTTCATAGTGAAATATATTGTCACCGCAAGTGTGCAAGCGGTTTAGAAACTCGTCTTTTTTATTCCGTTTTATGATAGCAATGTGTCATTCACGTAGCGCCAGCAAATTTTCAGTGAGCTATAAGAGTCAGTCAGCGCCCTGCTTTTAAAGTCTTCCATGTACAAATTTCCCAATACAGGGGATAACTGCGATCTCATGGTAAGTCCCTGCTCCTGTGTGTATAAGCTAGATTGGAACGTGAACTAAGACATGTTAAGGCGCCGTGCCATTCCTTTTGCTATTTCATCTACCATACGCTTCGTCCTCTCTCATGTTACTGTCCCCAGTTAGACGCTGTTTCCCTATCTCCAAAGCGTCGTTTGCACGTTGGTAAAAAGCGAGCTAACGTCGAAACTGACCACCATTTCATCAGACACAATCTCAAGACCCGACGAGTTTCTCACAATCATAAAAGCTCTGTACGAACGTATTACTTTGCTCTGTCAAGGGTTGCAATATGCTAGCCAATTGTCTAGCTAGTTCATGCGTCTGGGAACCTATGCCATCTGCAATTGGTCGAATGGGTACATCGGGCTTATGCATCTTCGGTAAGCCCTACGCTCCTGGTGGAAGAGATGATCTGAGATATTTGTTGTACTATTTTCCCGGTCCTAAATGCTCCTTTACGTTCTTCAAGTAATTACCAACCTCTGTCTTATTCTTATTCACCACTGACATGAAGCAGTTATTGTCGATGATCTTATATGTTCCCATCACTATGTGCTCCACCATATTTTCCAAATACTCTGAGTAGTTCATTATCACCGTCATATTGCCCTTACCGGCTTCCGTGATAACGATGTTCGGGTCTTCCTTTAGGACAGTTAATGCGATATGTTCCTCTGGCGCAAGATTTGGCTTCCTCGGCTGCCGAAATTTTATAATGTGTACAAGCTCTGCACGAATATGCTGAGCCATTGAAGCGGGTAATTTTGCTAAAGCGGTCTCAACACTATGAATAATTTATTCGGCTCTTATCTTGGATTTGTTGACAATACATGCCAAATCCTTCTCCAGTATTCTGCGCTCCGTCTCAGTCAACAAACTATCGGAATTATTAACTACGGTACAATATGTGCTGCTAGATAAAGGCCTGCTATTTGGACCGGTGGCCATGCTACGTAAGAACATCAAATGGTGGAACTTATGGCTTTGTCTTCCGTTTGTGGTCTTCCCTTACATGTACTTAATATCCGAAGCTTTGTTGTAAAGCTTGTCTCAGTCTGTATGCGTTAACATAGTCTGCAACTCCGAGCTCAGTCGATTTGCATGGACACGGACTTTGCCCAAGCGTCTAGTTGCCAGCTATGTTCCTTGCTTCGTGAATGGCTTACTCGCGTAGGAAACTATTGCAGCGGAAGTATAAGTGTTGTCAGGTTGTTTGACGATACGATTCTTGGGTATGGTGTTGGTTTTAAAGCAACTGAAGTTGTAAACTCGAAGAACCTCCAAATGTGCTTCAAGGCCGGCCAATCGAACGAATAAACCTGTGAATTTGCAAATGGGAATCCCATTTAGGTACTTGACTTCTTGTAAAATATTTGGAACCAATCGAAAACTCACGATATAAGAAAGGTTTGAAAACAACTGATTGGCATAGTATGTTGGCAGCGTTTCTTTTTTGACACGAAAATCTTTGCCAGGCCGAGTGAACCAATTGATGATTTGTCTAGCACATTTAGCGAAAGGAATCGACCTCCACATCACCGTAGTACCCATGGTTAAAAGAGCGTAGGTGTGTGAACCTGTGACGCCGACCACTTGTGACCGTTCCTAACAATATGTAGAGGGATACGTTGAAATGTAACACAATTGACCATCCGCCTACATCCCATTCGTCGAGATTATCAATCCAGTTCGTGAAAAGTGCTAGAGCAATCATCTATTGGTTCACTCTGCCTGGTAAAGCTTTTGTGTCGTAGCGATACGTTGCCCCCAAGATATACCAAACGGTATTTTTATCCTTTCTGAAATAATTAGTTCTACATCAGTTCCAAGTATTTTGCAAGATCTTGATTGCATTTATCGACTTCACTTTTGAAAATTCACAAATTTATCCGTTCGATTGGCCGGCCTTAAAGACAATTGGGAGAATCTTCGAGTTTACAACTTCAGTTGCTTTAACATCAACACCATACCCAAGAATCGTATCGTCAAACAACCTGACAACACTTATACTTCCGCTGCAATAGTTTCCTACGCGAGTAAGCCATTCACGAAGCGAGGAATATAGCTGACAACTAGACGCTTGGGTAAAGTCCGTGTCCAAGCAAATCGGGTGAGCTCGGAGTTGCAGACTATGTTAACGCAGACAGACTGAGACAAGCTTTACAACAAAGATTTAGATATTAAGTGAACAATGAACAATGATTTATCACGGGATAAATGCAAGCGCTTGACGCTTCCCGTCGGATTGTTGGGGTGAATATGAGGAAAGCAAGATAAATCTGGGTCATCTACCGAACGTCTGCCGAGATGAACACTTCGATAAATTACATCGGTGTAAAGTTAAAAAAGATTGGGCGTAAACGTTCAGAAATACACTGTTGTGCATCGATCGTTGATATAAGACATGAGAATAGTAAAATATGGTCGCACACTTGGTTCCATTTGATAC